CGTTAATGTGTTTAATCTGGTTCGGTGCTCAAATGCCTCCGTGTACATATATGTACTACACATACATACACATATATAGCCACATAGGTAAAGGTACATAAGGAAAGAGCGAGATGGGGCAGATGCGCGCAATGTGTTTATTAATTTATAAGTATTAATTCGTGCAGGCTTGCCACAGAGCGAAAATGCACCATTATGACCGGCCGCACACAAACACCGAACCATACATACACACATGCCAATTATGAGTTTATTCATACACATGCACTTACGCATACATTTATGTAGGCACACATAATGTGCTCTCCAATACACTTAGTATACTATTGCAGAAGTAAAGGAGGCTATAGCAATTGTGGCGTTTGACTTTTTACATATAATTAGAGGTTGGGATCTAAATATTGTTGGTTATGTATTATGTTATATCGTCGCTAGAAATCATTATTTTTCAGTACTAAGGGAACCCAAGGAAAGGATTCTATTTTGATTTTTTAAATTAAACAAAAAACAAGAAAGAACCCTATTGTCGAGTGCCTCGACTATTAGATACCCTTTACTCAGCTAGAGGGACCAAAGGGTAATAGAGATATGCAAGCAGCAAAGCGAGGTTGGAATGCGCCACCTACCCGCGATCTCAATATATGGTTATGTGGGCGGTAGACAGATTTAAGCGTTATGGGCATTAGAGTGGGCGTGGCAATCTTTTTTTTGGGTCAATCAATATGTATTGACGAAACTAATACATTTCAGTTAAAATTTTTTCTAGCATGAAAGTTGTGGGCGCCACAGTCTTCGGTGGTTTGTGGGCGTTAGAAAGGGCGTGGCAAACTTGGGTCAATCGATAGGTATTGATGAGAACAATACATTTCACTTTCCGAGATCTCAGCGTTCATCCGGACGGACAGATAGACGGACAGACGGACATGGCAAGATCGACCGATCAAGAATATGTGTACTTTATGGGGTCGGAAACGCTTCCTTCTGCCTGTTACATACTTTCCGACGAATCTAATATACCCTTTTACTCTACGAGTAACGGGTATAATGTGACTGCCTCCTTGTTATTGGGTTTGACTGTAAGACAATAACTTCAACGATCGAAGGAACACAGGAAGTTATTCGCGTAACCTTTGTTGATCAAATGGACCAGTGCGAGAGGGATAGAGATAAATTCATACAGCCAATCGGTTGCTTACGAAAATTGACTAGCGCTACCTAGGCTTTATTTTATTTCGACGATAGATGGCACTTTTTTGTTAGCTTAGTAACGGGTATCTAATACTCGAGGCCGTCGACTTTAGCGTTTTCTCTTGCTTAACTATGAACTTAGTACCTTATTATTTTAAGTAGTTGTACATATCTGTTCCTGCTATGTTTACAATGTTGCTTATAATTCCGTGCACCAAGACCCCTAAGTCAAACTGTGAGAAGCTAAGACTAATTTAATACAAATTTTCTGTAAAAAGTCTTCAAGATACTTCCACACTACCTGGAAATCAAGTGGAATCCACAAAAAACTAGAGAGAACGCTATAGTCCATGCCGTAAACTATCAAATACCCGTTACTTAGCTAAGGGGAGTGCGAGAGAGATAAAGACATGCAAAGGGACTGTCCCAAGATTTCACACTTTATTTGCTTTTAACTTTAATAAATGGTCCGATCTGAACAAAAGATGGATATTGATAGTAAGAAAAAAGTAGCTAGTGATCCTGATCAAGAATATATATACTTTATAGGGTTGAAAACGATTCCTTCTACCTGTTACATACTTTCCGACGAATCTAGTATACCCTTTTACGGAGAATTTTTATATTTCCATTTATACGGAGAAATATTGGATGCCTTATCTCCGAAGTTCAAATGTGGCACATCGCGCGGTAAGATCCTGTGTTTGCAAAGCTGCTTACTAACTTTTACCCTTCCAACGGCACCACCTGGAAACCCGGTCCACCTGGCCGAGACAAGTATATTGTCAGCACATTTGCATGGATAATTTAGATCCTTCTGTGCTGCCTTACCTAACGTTGTCCACTCTGTGTTTGATTAGCGACATAATAGGTAATACGGCAGTACTTTCTTATACATGCCATATCTAAGCAAGCGTTAATTTTACAAAAAAGTCAATAGTCGAGTGCCTCGACTATCAAATACCCGTTACTCAGCTAAAGGGACCAAAGGGAGATGGAGATATGCAAGCAGCAACGCGAGATTGTAAAGCGCCATCTACCCCCGATTTTAATATATGGTTATGTGGGCGGCAGACAGATTTAAGCGTTATGGGCATTTGTGGGCGTTAGAGCGGGCGTGGCATATTCGCGTAACAAACTTGCGCCGCTTACGAAGACGGGGAATCTAAATCTGAAATCTCATCTCTCTAGCTCTTACAGTTTCAGAGATCGACATGGCTAGATCGACTCGGCTAGTGATGCTGATTATATAAATATATATCCTTTATGGGGTCTGAGACGCTTTGTTCTACCTATTACATACTTTTACATACCCTTTTACTCTACGAGTGACGGGTAAAACAAATAAGTGGTTTTTAATGTTCTTTCTATACTTTCTAAACTTTAATGTGAGTACTTGTAATGTTAATAATAATGATTGTGATAGTAACTGTGAAAATAACAATATTATCTACAAATCGTTAATGCACTGTTTTAAACCTGATTTACAAATTATTTCTACGATTTACTACCCACTTGAAAAGAGTTCGAATGTGGCGCTGATACGGTTAAGATTACGGCCTTTGCTTTAACTATGGTTTTGGTTTAGTATTTCGGCAGTGAGCTTTGAACTTTACCTTCTACCACAACCTACATACATATGAGTGAACCTGGATTGTTAATGTATCCAAGCATGTACATTTTTTTGCACTCAGGAGTAACTTAGAGCCCCGAAACAAGGGTCTCTCTTCTGATTGCTGCCAATTTATGTATAATAGTGCAGAAAATCGATAGAGGTCGATATGCCTCGGACGGAGCTCAGACTAAAATCGATTGCACAGCAGCGGTGGCAACTAACTTTACATAAAAATGTACATGCAGCACACATGTCCCCGTATGTACATGCATTTAAATCAGTTGGGGTTCGATAGTGTTTGCCGGCTGCATATGGGCTTTGGGAGCTGCCCACATGTATGCGTTTGTACATAAGGACATCACATAAACATTAAAATGCATACTGCTGCACCGTGACCAGAAATGCATCCAAATTGCACACACTCGCACACGTACAAATGCACAACACAAGCTAGACAGAAACAGTCGGCAACCAGAGGGAGAAAGGGAGATGGCTGGACTCGGGCAGAAGAGGGGCAGAGGTGGCAGCGGGGTGGGCGCAGGGGCAGGAGGTGCCGGAGAGGCCTTGAAGTAGACATTAAATCATGCACAAATTTGCATACCACCGACCAGGACCCGGGTCTGCTGTGGTTGCAGCAAGACGGCAGCGAGTAGGGTGGTTCGCCGGGTGGTTGCAGTGGTCATCACGGCCGCCCCGCCGCCATATAAGGGATGTTACTGCGGAAAGTGCAGCGCTGACCGGACCCGGACCCGGACCCGGACCCGACGAGCAACGCCGAGTGCAGCCGGGACAGCACGGACGGCACTTGCTGCCCCTCGGCCTGTCTGCGTGACGTGAGAGTAATCAGTTGGCGGGGGTGGCGTAAGGGATGATGCAACGAAAACGCATCCGAAGCGCGGCATGGGCCAGACATATTTGGCTCACACACATTCACGGCAACGAATGGTCTGTGGGCATCGACAGCATGCAGTTTCATGCACTGGAAAAAAGATCCTGAAACACCCACTCGCCATGGGATCGGAAACGGTTCCCATGTGTAGGCGTACCCTCGTGGGAGAAAGGGGTGCAGTTTTGATTTGGTGTAACTTTTAGACCAGCTTCCTGAGCCGCCTAGCTGCTACTAGTAACGGCTTTTAAAATAAGTTGGTCGTTGGCTTCAGATGCTGTTCGCAGTGGCACCTAGGGCAGCATTTCTTCGAGTGTGCCACTGCAACTGCAAGTGCAGAAACAACTGCCATTGCAACTGCAGTTGCCGAGAGCGCCGGCGCTGCGCTGGCTCCCCGTCCAGTGCAGAGTGCAAGGACCTGAATCCACATCCGCCGCTTCGTCGCTGCAGTCGCTGCAGTCGCTGCCGCTGCTGTCACTTTTTGTTTAACACACACAATTTTTATCTTATAATAAGCACACCGCTGACTCCCAGTCATTCTCCCACTCGGCGCCCCTTCCCCACTCTGGATTCTCCATTCTCCAGCTCCCAAACAACGTATTGCTGAGGCGATGATTTTTATTCTCAATTATTTTGGATGCGGCATTCACAAACGCAGTATTCCATGGAGTAGAACAGCCGACTGCGGATCGTCCTGACCTCGCGGAGCATTTTTATTTTATCAAATGTGCATAAACAAGATATAAAATAACTGTGGATTGTTAAAAAAACCAAGCCAAACTAAAGAAACTAATTTGTTTAAAAACGACTAAAGCACAAATGAATTGCGTTGCGAATGTGTTCAAGGAACGCTCTACTCTTGTGCATTTTCATTTGTGTTTTGCTTCTATCAGATTGAATTGAATCTGACAAAACCTTTTCTTTTCTTTTCGTTTGATTTCAGATCATCATAATTTTAACAAAAACAATAGACCAGAAAACGTTTTTAACATAAAAGCAGAATCCGTAACAAGAGATAAAATCACCCAACTTAACTCAACTCAACTCAACTCAACCATCTTTTAGTTATAAAAGCAATAGAACAGATGCAATTAAATCTCTGATTTTTATAAACTCATTACCGAAAATAAATATCAACATCAACTTCATCACAATCCAAGAAAATAACAACAACCAAATTGATATAACCCAAAATACAAGCCGACCAACGAGAACAAACCGTTAAAAACCATCACAAATTTCTATGTTAGAAAAATGAAACAAAAAAATAATTTACAACAAAAAGTGTTGCAAAATTGAAATCAAAAGTACAAAACCACATAAATTAATTACGAATATAATTATACAATTATTACAAGTACTAACGAAACTTAAATGAAATTATAAAAAATTGTAACAGAATATACTTTTTATCTTTCAAAGGAGTACTCTTCTGTAGGTTTGAGTGAGGATTACGGGCAGACTTGAATTAATCCAGCAGAGGCTGCGGATCGATAAAATACAAATTTACTTGTGTATATAATCAAGAAGTAATTTTAGTTGTATAAAAAGCTAACATTCTATACTTAAATTAAACCATATAGGCCAAGCATTTAGGTTTTCGGGCTACACCGAAATTAATAATTCGTCACAGAGGGTACATTCCCACAGCTACAAAATACATTCCCTGAATGCTTACTCAATACACACTGACACCGGAACAGACAGTTTGGAATACCACATACCCTACAGCTAGCACTTCACGCAAAGCTGGCTAAACTCATGCCGTGGCATTCTCATATGTAACTACACACCTAACAAGAAAATCGGGTTACACCTTTTAATAATAAGAGCAATTTTCAAAAAACACTTATTGTAATAATATGATTAAACCTGAAGAGAGATATAGAAACTATTGTAGACCACAGTACGTAAACTAAAATATAAGTCGTATAGTTGTATAACACCACTAATTAGGCCCTTACAATATCATAGTTCAGTAAAATAGATGGGAGATTTTTTAATTGGGTACTAATTTAGGTCGATTGATACAAAAGTACTTGTAGTCCATTTTTGGAGATCCTCGGAACACTTTCAAATTTTATAAAATTATATTTTTATATACCTTAAATAAGGAGGCGTACATATATAATTGTAGTTGCGAAAAATACAAATCCGATAGTTAAGTGATACTCTTTGGGCATAAAAATAGATAAAGGTATCGGGTAACAAATTGTGATGTAAAATTAAAAAAAATTAAAGCTAATAAGGAAGAGAAAATCCAAGTAGAAAATAAATCAATCTGGCTCCATGGCTGTTTGGAGGGAGTTACACCGAAAATAGGCGATTAATGAATTTTCACAACCAATATATCGCGACACCGAAACGTGTGCCTTATTCCGGCCTTATGTTTAAAGGACTTTCAATAACACATCAAAAACAACTTAAACTAAACCCATAACCACACTAATTATAAAATCGTCGCATGTAAAAGTCACTAGGAACTAGATATTCCACAAACTCTTAATTTGATTGGTATGCTCCCCGTCGCCTGCGCTGCAACTGTCATCGTACTGTAGTCACAACAGAGGATCAATGTTTATTTTCAAGGTAATTACTGAACCCGAGTGCCAATCTGTAAATTGAGTTCAACGGGACACTCGGTGATCATGTTTTGTGTACCAATACACCTATAACTATTTTGTGCTGACCGGTATCCCAGTGGGGTACGATTTGCTAGCTAAGAGCAAGTTAAAAGAGAGCTTTGAAGCCCGTGAAAACGGTGCTGTGCTGCTGAGCGAGATGCTGGTGTTGGTGGACCCGAAGACGGGACGAAGATATTTTGCCGAAGGTTTTGGCGCTGAGTCCAGAAACGAAGACGTTTGGCTTACTTTGAGCCAACGAGGACGATGACGATGGCGACGGCGATGACTCGACTTCAAGCCGACTCCACTTTTGTGTACAAGTTCTATTTCTAAACGAGACGTGTCTGAACCCCCAGCAACAGTCATATTTATACTTGGCCGAGGCGGCGGCCAAATTAGTTTTTCTATGACTCGCGTGCCGCCAGGTTATCTGTAGTTTACTGGGAGCAACTTCGATTTCTCAGCTGTAACTTTAACCGTAACCGTAATCGAGGCCGTGCACACAGATATTTATTATTTTACTTATCTACCACTACAAAAATAACCTCGTATAGAGGTAAAAGGGGGCGGAATCCCGAAAGTTCGCATAGGCCATTCAAAATAAAAACCACAAGTTACTATTATTTGCGGCCACTGGTTTCTATCTTATCAAATTCTTAAGTGCAGGAAACAAAATATGAGTTTCCTCTGTTGAACAAATATAGTTTTGAATTCGCAACTACTTTGTTTCTAATCCTAAAAAAAGTAGTGATAAAGAAGGTCGGAAAGTATTATCGACATCCATTAACGTAAAAATTGTGATAGTGCTCAGTTATAAAGCATCATATATATTAAAGGGAATCGATAATTACCTAAAAAGTAAAAAAGGTGGAGAATTTGTGCGGCAGCTCGGAATAAAGCTAAGATTTTAATTCATTCTAGTGTTATTTGGAATACATTCGCAACTACAGGTTCGAGAAAATGCATTTCTATCTAAGCTAAAACATTTTTAGTGACCCTTTTTCTCCATAATAAATTCACTTGTTTCGCGACAACGACATAAGTGTGGCTAGTATGTAGCTTAAGTCATTTATAATCTGCATTAACGCCACATAAAATGGTTAATATATACATGGTAAAAAAGGAATACCTATCGATCAAATTAGACTTAGCTTCTCAGATTAACTTTCCAATCTGAACAGATTAATCTCGAAATTAATTCCACACATACCACAGTTGTATTCTCCAGCGCGGGGATCCTACAAATGCATTACTTCTTGTAACCATTTGCTTCTTGACACCCCACTTTAGTGAATTCAAAAAATATGAGAGATAAAGGTTACCAAAATTTAAACTGTGAAGGACGGCAACATTCCGAACCACATTCCAGGTTATTTTTAAGATCTTTAGTGGAGTGCAATCTTTTGAACAGCTCAGTTTAAAACAAGAGAAAACGCTAAAGTCGACGGCCTCGAATATCACATACACGTTACTTAGCTAAAGGGAGTGCGAGATTGCACTCCCCGCAAAAGCGGCACCTACCGTTCATTCCTATAGGCTGTTTACCAGATTTCGCTAACACGCCACATTGTGTGAAACCTAGGTGGCATCTCCTAAACATCTCCACCCCTCTCGCACTCTATTGAATTTGGTAATTATTTATTAAGGTTTGGTTATAACTTTTTAATGAATGGTCCGATTTGAATAATTTTTGGCATGTAAATGGGAATTGATAATAAGAACAAAATCGCATTTAAAGTTTTACAAAATATTATGTCAAAGACGATAAGCAATAGCTTCAATGGGATTAATTTTGCTAATAAAAATTATATACGAATTAACCCATAAGTTTAGTTAGTTAAGCTTATATGTGCGGGGAAAATGTTGATATTTTTAATGTTTACCAATTGAGGTATGATTTAATATTATTCGATTTATAAAGGTATTGACTATATGTAAATTACTCTTTGCTCTAGAACGTGTGTGATGTACTTTTATTAAACATTGTTAATCAGACAAGCACAGTTTCGGATAATTTGGGGTTTAAAAATGATTTATTCTCGATTCAAGAACGCGCAGCATATTTATACTTAAAGCAACCATATATCATACACCAGTCACTCAGCTAACAAAAAAGGAATGTAGGCATATATCTCCATCCTATCGCACTCTATTGAGTTTGCTAATTATTTATTATTGTTTGGTCGTAACCGGCTCAAACAATCTTGTGCTTCGCGCCTTCTCCCTGTAACATACTTTCCAAATAATCTAGTATACCCTTTTACTCTACGATTAACAGGGATAACAAGGACTACAATTTCTATACAAAATCAAGTATAAGTCGCGTTTAAAATTAGGTTGCATTTTTTTCGGAGTGTACGATAGGAAATTCTAATCTGGGCTACAACTCTTTTTTAAAATTTCAGAATTTTGAATACATTTTTTTTAATCGGGCGACTTAAGAAATAAAAGCACCGTTGTTTTTCATCAAATTTTCTTCTACCTTGCATTGCAGCGCTGTTTTAGGATTTCAAAATTTGAAAACAAAATTGTTTTCAAAGCTGTCGTAATTAAAAAACAATATAGCTTTGTTGTCTTTTGTTGTACCCTCTTCTAGTATTGTTTTAAAATTTCAGAACTTTCAATTTCTTTTTGTAAAAATCGGGCGAGTGTATAGCTTCTTATATAGAGTGTGTAGCTTCTATATAAATATCGCTGTATGTATATGAAAATATTCCGAGTATACGGAATACGAGTATTAACTCGTATACGTATGATTTTAATAAAATTATATTGTAAAGCTTTCAATTTTTTTTAACCCGTTTTAACAAAATTAGGAAAAACACGGATACGATCGAGGAAATATTAAAAACCTTTTTGCTTTGTTTCCTCAATTACTTAATAAACACCAACTGACTTTTTGCCAATGCAAGTAAATTGTTCGTATTTATTATAGGGTTGGGATAAATAACACAAAATAGTATTAAACAAATAATAAACATTCCCAACTCATTTGAATCGAGTATGAAAGCTAGGAAGCCCTGCCAAGCCTCTCAGGCAGGCAAGCTATTTTGTTCAGTGTGGTGTTCATAGTCAAGAGACGCTTGGTTCGAAAAGAAATAGGGTAAAGCCCATTGCCAAGCAACCAGTCAACACAAGTGACGATCGCACATTCAACATATGTACAAAAGTTCTTATAAAAATGACAATAAATTGGACAAAATAAATACAATGTTTCTTCATTCGGTCCTTTTTACCTTACAGGCTTTTCGCCTGCACTGGAATTTTCTGTCGCACATAAAGGTTTTAAAAGTGGGTTAGGATAATGCGTGCTATTATCTTAAAAGCGTGACTTGGTCCAATTGCTGAGTTACACACGGATCGAATGTGTCTTAAAATCTTGACCGTCCAGCGGTATAGTACTATATAATTGGACTTCAAAGGCAATTGACATTTTAATATTTAGGCAACTCCCCAAACAACCAAATAGCGAACTTTCCTGAACTAAGCAATGGATTTCATAGTTTCTTGTTGTTTTATTTAACAGGCAGTGACATGATATGAAATTAAGATGCTTTAGCCAGGCACCCACCACTCGCAGTTGGCAGCACAGATCTGCGTCCAGGATCGAAAGTAAAGGTCTTATCGATCGGCCCGAACGACCAAGCCCAGTGAGCTGGGAAATCGATCTTTGCGGTCTCCCAACCATCTTGCTTCGAATGTTCAAGATGGACGCCGCAGACTTCTGGCAGCAGGCACGTGCCCCGTTCGGCCTGCAGTACAATTCGCCCCCGAGTCAGCCGCAGGCACCCCACCACACCCTGCACCACTCCCTTCCCCAGGAGCACGAGCTGTTGGCCGAAGTCCACCCAGGAGGCCCAGCCACCGGCTCGGGCGCAGTGAACAGCGGCAGCTCCATTGGCGTCTCCAGCCCCCACCCCGCTCTGGGCGGCAAGGCCGAGTCCAGCCACATCCTGCAGCAGCACTCGGAGCAGCAGTCCTACGGGGGCGACTCCTTCCGGGGCTCGCAGTCGCCCCAGCTGAGCAGTCACCACCTGTTGTTCAACGCAGCTGCGGCCGCTGCCGCGGCGGCCCACCTGAAGTCCACTGCCATGCAGAACAACCTCTCGCCGATGGGGGCGGGCAACTATGGCCACAGCTCCTTGAACGCCCTGTGTGGGATCAAGCCCAAGCAGGAGATGGATGCCAAGCCGGCCCTCCAGTCGCTGGACGAGTGCCGCCAGCCGCTGGCCCAGACGCAATCGCAGTCCCAGCCTACGTACGGCGCCGACTTCTACGACGTGGGCGAGTCGCCAGCAGGGGAAGTCTCCGAGGCGGAGGCAAGAGCGCTGACCATCGGGCTCGGCGGAGCCAGTAAGAGGTCCTCCGAGGAGCCGCAGGCCAGTCAGCAGACCCAGCAAGAGACGGGGGCAGGCCGGGGCTTGCAGACGCCGCAGTGCCCCTCAATGTCCCCCGGGACTGGGGGCAGTTCCAACTCGGGGACGGGACCCAGACCCGGACCAACACTGATCAACAAGACCTTGTCGCAGGGTCAGCAGTCTCCGCAGCACTCCACAACGCCGTCCGGCGGCAGCACAACGCCCGACATTAAGTACAGCAACGACAAAATGGCCAACGAAATTCAGGTACTTTATATTTTTTTCATTTCAAAATATATTTGCTCTAAGAGCTTCTTTAATGCCACTTAGAATTTTAAAGTTTTAAAAAGAAATACAATATTTATGCGGGGGAAACTCTGTAGTCACTTGCAACGACTTTCATACCCTTTCATACTTAGCTTACCGGTTCAACTTATTACCTAGTGGTCCGACTAAAATTATTCAAAATTAAGCCGTTTGAATCGACTCGTCTAGTGAGACTGATCAAGTATCAAACAAAACGCCTCTTAACGAGGTAAAAAACTAATGACGGTCGCATCTTCAACTTTCAAAAGTTCTGATATCAACTTTTGTGTCGAAAATGTTTTAAAGGATCCACTAAATAAATAGACGCTTCATCAAAATCGCACAGCTTATTGCCCCGAACGCTTTTGTATTGAATTGTGTATTGGGAGGGCCACGCCCACTCTAACGCTCACTAAATTTGTGGGTTAAGCATGCAGATTCTAGAGATTCTGGCGCAGCGCACGTGTATTTCAGCAGGGTGCTACGTTCACAAGACGCCCAAAATTGTGGCGCCGACATTTTCTAAAATTAAACTTTAAAATATATTTTATTTTATTCCGCTTGTCAATACCTACCGGCATGCCGAAAGTTGCCTAAATTGGACCATTAGTTAATAAGTGATGACCTTACGCCCGTATCTAGCAAGAACATCGTCAGTGACGTCAGCCAGTAGATAAAAAAGTAAAGTGTAAACTCTAAAAATGTAAATTACTATAGATGGAAATGAAAACATCGATGCTTTCTCACCTCATATTGAAAGTATTCTTATTTTAACCTTCGTTAAGAGTAACGGGTATCTCATACCTGAGGCCGTCGACTATAGCGTTCCTTCTTGACTTTTTGTACTCGAAGTGTAAAAGAAAGTTTTTTTCGACCCTTAAAGTGTATAGGACCAATAGCCGAGTCGATCTAGCCATGTTCGTCTGTCTCTCTGTCCGTATGAACGCTGAGGTCTCGGAAACTATAAGAGCTAGGAAGTTGGTATCAAAAATTCAGAAAAAACCAAATTGAAAACCAAACAAAAATAGCAAGAGATCAAAACCGAGCATGTGAACAAAAAGAAGCATGTGAGCAAGGTAACAACAAATAAGAAATAGGAACGAACATGTTCATTCCCTCAGTTTAGTGAACCACTCTTTTTTGTTTCCTCGTTCGAGAGCAGCCCAACACTAGTGTTAATTTAAATTGAAATTATTAATAATACCTATCTACATACTGAGAATCGTGCCCATCTAATTGTTATACCCTTGCAGAGAGTATTATAATTTCAGTCAGAAGTTTGCAGCGCAGTGAAGGAGACGTTTCCGACCCCATAAAGTATATATATTCTTGATCAGGATCACTAGCCGAGTCGATCTAGCCATGTCCGTCTGTCCGGATGAGCGCTGAGAACTATAAGAGCTAGGCTATTGAAATTTGGCGTGCAGATTCCTGGGCTTCTTACGCAGCGCAAGTTTGTTTCAGCAGAGTGCCACGCCCACTCTAACGCCCGCAAACCGCCCTAAACTGTGGCTCCTACAGTTTTTATGCTAGAATACAAATTTTAACTGAAATGTAAATGTATTTAAGTTTGCCACGCCCACCTTAACGCCCACAAACCGCCCAAACCCATTTTCATGCTAGATAAAAAATTTTAACTGAAATGTATAGGTCTCGTCAATACCTATTGATTAATCCCAAAAAAAATTTGCCACGCCCACTCTAACGCCCATAACGCTTAAATCTTTCTACCACCGGAAGGTGTCGCATTTCAATCTCGCTTTGCTGCTTGAATATCTCCATTTCTCTTTGGTCCCTTTAGCTGAGTAACGGGTATCTGATAGTCGAGGTACTCGACTAATAGCGTTCTTCCATGTTTTTTTAGATCACAGCGTTCATACAGACAAACGGACATGGCTAAATACATATCAAAATATACTTTATAGGGTCGAAAACGCTTCCTTCTGCTTGTTACATACTTTTTTTTCTCCACGATTAAAGGGTAAACAAATACATATATTTTTTTAATAATCATGACTCAAAAGACTTACACACTTAAAGAAAAAAAGACATGTATATTTATTTAATTTTATTATTATTATTATTTAACTTTATTTATTTAAGGAATAATGGCAACAAAAAATATCGTTGGCGTTCAGTAATTTTACACGGGCAACTGCAACCCAAAAACTGTAGGAGTTTCCATAAGCGTCCATTTAAAAATTTTTAAGGTGAACAAGCGTTTTTCTTTAAGTAAAACATACTTAATTCTGGCTGCTATCTATGGTGGATACCACTGCGATACGTATAAAATGATGGCATTCCGCTGAAATAAGCCCGCGCTGCGAAAGAACCTTAAAAATCTGCATGCCTAATCCCAAAGTTCTATGTTTTATAGTTTCCGAGATCTCAGCGTTCATACGGACGGACGGACAGACAGACGGACAAACGGACATGGATAGTTCGACTCGGGTAGTGATCGTGATCAAGAATATATGTACTCAATAGGTCGAAAACGCTTCCTTCTACCTGTTACATAGTTTCCGACGACTAGTAACGGGTATAACAACGCATTGTCATAAATCATAAATCGATTAATCAGAAAAAAAACCGATGAAGTACTAAAGTAAATTAACATGAAACACTCAAAATGCTGAGACTTACATTTTTTGCGAGTTCAATATTTTAGTAGAACTCCTTATCGGAAAAGTGAAAAGGTAGGCTGACTATGTTATTAACGACCTTGAAAGTTTTGGTCTGTTCATTTGCACAAAAGTTTCAAAGTGAATTCGTTATTGACCACTGATATTTTTAAGTTGTTTTAGTTTGGCGTACTCTTTTTTATGCCCCTTATGCTTCAACGATTTTCTCTTAATCCATGCCTCTCTTCTCCTTTCCCTTAATTCTGCCTGCTTTCGCTAAGAGTATATCAGAACGTACCTAAGCCAGCCACCCCTTTTTCCAGGAGGGAAATTTTGAAAGCTGCCTTCGCTTTAGTTCAGCTCAGAAGGGGAACTCGCGTCCACGAGCTCGCTCAAGTCTCAAGAACCTGCCCCGCACTTGGAAGCCCTTGTCGCGGCACAACCAGCCTTTTACTGCGCCAGTTTTCTTGGCGAGTCGGTGCTTTAGCGGCAGCACTTCTCTTTTGCTATCATTAAACTACCACCCGTCTCGTGCCCACTATATCTTCCTGTGTGCCGACTAGTTCGGGAAATCGGTCGAAAGTGAGAGAGGGGTAATGGAAAATGGTGGTGGTGTGGTGTGGTGTGGTGTGGTGTGGAATGGTGTGGATATGTTAAGTTACTATAGCTAGGCAGTGAGAGCAAGGGAGAGCGATGGCCCGAGAGAGATGATAGAGAGAGTGAGGGAGAAGGCAAAGAGCGGTTCTTATCTTTGCTTAGTTTTTAGCTATGCTTTTTCTTGGAGCACTGAAGTAACCCCCGTTGTCGAGCTTCTTCTCCTATGTATGCGAAGTGTGCGAGATTCTTAGCCTCGGTTGACTTGTAAGGCGAGTCTTGGGGACCGGAACGGGGATGCAAGTTCAGGTTCAGTTCGATACACACACACACGCACTCGAACACTTACATAGGTATACAAGGATATAAAAGTCAGTTCACTGTTCCTAGTCCAGACGTAAACTCCGCCGCTGCCATAATTTTGTTTTCCCTCGACTTGTCTTCCCTGCCCTGCCTTCCCTTTCTTCCTGCCTTCCTGCGAAAAGAGAGAAGAGAGCGCAAGATGCAGATGCCGTTCTTTCGGGAGCTTTTTCCTTCCGTCTTTTTTGAAAACTCCGTCCATTCCGTGCTTATTTCCTCAAGAAAACAATAATAGCGCATAGAGAAAGAGATGTCGAGTTAGAAGCTCGACCGCGGCAGCGACAGAGACAGAGACAGCGACAGCGACAGAGACGACGAGGCAACAGCGGGATAGTTTAAGAAGAACCCCGTGGCACTCACGCAGTGTCCCGTTTGCTGATGATAATTCGCCGTGCCGGCAGAAGTTCAAAGGACATCAGACCGTAAGGTTGTGTGCTCCGGTCTGCTTCGCGTAGCTAAATATCCTAACGAAACTAAAATCAGTTCGTTCGTTCGTTCGCCAGCTATTTCGTGGTCGCGAGCCCAAGTAATTTCGATGCACTGACCACCGATAAACTGTACCTCTGAATGGCATTCGCGGTCGAACAGCAAACCTTGCGATCCAAAAAAGAAGACGAAAATGCGTCCTTCAGCAATGCAAAACTCCACCTAACATGAAAAGTGCCGCACAGTTCGCAAGTCCATAGCTCGGGAATAAGCCAGGGAACCAGTCACCAAAACAAATCACCGGATAAAACTAAGCATTAACACGCCGCAAGGGAACTGTGTTGTATTCGTTCCGATTTGTGTCGCCCTACGATCGGCCATTTAGATCGTTTCCGTATACAATGACACTTGATTGTGAAAAGGAGCACGATGTAATTTTTCATTTTTCAATCACCACTTAAATATGTTCTCTTTTTTTAAAGAGTTTTAAGTTGGCCATATTTGCTATAATTATTTCAGCCATGTTGTTGGCAAACAACAAGACAAAGTATTTAACTACCGATAAGACGTCATCTACTTACTGCACTAGAACAGGTCCTCTTATAAAATACATCTAGCTAGTTTGGTGAAGCAGGTTTCAAATAACATAACATTTTGCAATAGTGCAACAATTTTTCATTCAATACAGTGTTTAAAATATTAAAGAGAAGTACTTAATCCGCTGTCGAAAATTGGACATAAAAGGGGTTTGTGTACAAATACACAATCTTGCAACCTTAACCCAGGATATATTGTTATAAATACCTTAAAAATGTTTTTAAAAAATTGTACAATGTTGTTAGAGTAAAATACGACAAACCCCGAGAACTAGCGTCTAATGAACTCTTAAAATGCTAAGCAATGAAAAGTAAACTTTCAAATGTGGCGTTACATGACCCAAAACAGGGCCTGAAAGTAAATCGCTCCACATGAGTTTAGTTACCGACTTGTTCTGTTTCCCAGAGTCAACATTAAAACCGTATAACTAAATAGCGCTGGAAATGGGTGTCCAAGTAGTCTTACGTAAAAAAGTTGTCTACTTTTTACCAAGAAACTTCATATTTCTCGCATCACTTCCCCTATATAAGAAACAAATGTTGTGCGTCAGCCTAACTTATGATTAAAACGTATCCCTTCGATTGTTTTTCAGCTTCAGCTATCCCGGTCGAGCAGCGCAGCCGCGATCAGTGAACGCACCCTTGAAGAATGTTGGTCAACCCTGCAACGAGTGAGTTGGCATCTGTTCCGTTGTGTATAGTACTCTTCCTCGTCAAAGACACGTACTCAGCTTCAGCTGCAGCACAGCACATCCCCATCACCGAACACTTACGTACAAACAACTAGCTAAAATTGTACGCGCTCCCACGATCCTTGTTACCTGGGCTTTGGGAAGAGTGGTACTGCTGCCTAAAGTTAGATTATTTCCAGTTCACTATACTTGTTTTGCTTTCATTTATTTTAGTGGGCTTTTTAGTTTGGGTGCAAAAAATACAACGATCTCTGGTTACTTTTAAGTTACAACCTTTTGCTGATTTTGAAGCTAGTAGGACACAAAGGGTATCTGCAAATATAAGCCCAGACGTCGAAACCCTGCACCTACATTTTGATTTGCAAGTAAAATGTTTATTTTCCGTTCATATAAACATAGTATGCGTTATGTATTTTCTTTCTACTATTAATGGCTCTTTTAAGTTTATTGTTTTAAAACATGTACAAGACACACAAAATCTCTTATGAATTAAATGTATGTATCCGTAAAATTATGCACTGTTTTATTTTATTTTCTCTTATTTACACATCTTTTTGGGCAAGTACACCGAACCAAATGACCACTAAGAAGAATCTCAATTTAGTATAACTTGTATACCAGTTGAGAAGCTAGCTTCCGCAGGTCGACGTTTCTCGGGGCTGGCCTGATTATGGCCTATAGATGGTATAAAAACAGCCGGACAGAATGAAAGACGGACATGCCTATATCCTATATCGACTCGCCTAGTGTGAGCGTTTACAAGTATCCTTTAAATGGTTGCAAATGCTTCCTTCACTGCCTTTGACCTAAATAATAATACTCTTTGAAAGGCTATAATAAGTGAACTTCGTATACGACACAGTTTCTAAACTGAGGTTATTAGGTAGGTAATTGGCACTTGGTAGTGTCCGCCTTCTACTTTTCTTATTTTCGCAATCAAAGCCCTTTAAAATTATAATTACAATTTTAAATTTAAAAAAAACTCGGACAACCTTATCATGGGGATGCGTTAGGGGAGATCTCGACAGTGTTTTTGGCGCAGGCCTATAGCCATAAAATTATGTTAATATACATAGACGTCTATAGGCATGACTGCATACTTAGTTTCCGATCCTAACAGGTGGCGTTTGTGAAATCGCGGATTGCATCTAAGTATGTATAATGTTTCTCGATGTTAGTACCATAAAGCAGCCTAGAAAAGTTTGGTAGGGAAATAGAAAAATAGACATCACTTCTTTTAACATACGGGTAAAATAACTAAGGGGTCTTCAAGACTTCCATTGTGTTTGGTACCACTTACCTGTACCTATCTGGACAAACAACAGGAATATATGTACACACAGAAGTAGCGCCTTTAAAAATCATTCAGAAAAGAGCAGGGCAACAACGGCTTTTCCGTATATTTGAAGACACCGGCGTCCCGTCTCAATTGACCTTCCCTCGTATGTTTTGTCTTCCACGACTAAGGCGCAGACATAAACACATTCGCAAGTCCTTGTTTATGTGAGTGTGAGTATGTATTCTAGGCGTGTGTGTGTGCGCTTACATACGAACCAACGAACTCGCCCCAACCGTACGAACTCATTTGTCCACCCCTCACGTTTTTTCAACCATTTTTATTTCACTCACCTCGACCACACGCCGAGCGAAGCGAAAAGAAGCGATGGTTACCGCCTCCTGCTACCCCTAAGATAGAGCGAAAGAGGTCCGGTGGACCTAAGTCCATCCCTCTTTGAGTTTGCGTCCCTGGCACTAGGGGTCGAGTGCTGGCGGAGGGTGGAAGGCTGAGTGCGGAGGGCGGAGGGCGGAGGGCGGAGGGCGGCGGGTAGAGACTGCGAGAAGGAAGCGAATATAAAAACCAAAACGAATGAAGAAGGCAGGACTTAAAAAAGGGAACGAAGTAGGGAAATGCATGTACGTAAATTGAATGCGACTTTCTGAGTGCGCTCTCTTCCTCGACCTTTTTCTCCCAATCATATTTCCCCTTTCCTTTAGTTTTTATGTTTCAATTAATTCGACAATGATTAGAATGCTATTAAAGCAAACGCTTTTGGGAATTATTTTGGAAAAAATTAGTTCACCAATCCACATGGACCAAGAAGAAACCTTCAGTGTGCCAAATATGTCATTGCATAGTTTCGGGCGGCACCTTAAATTTTCTATCTCTGCAGAACTATTGTTATAACTTTAAAGTGACCAGTTAAGTATACCCGTTACTCGTGGAGTAAAAGGGTATATTCCGTTCGCGGAGATGTATACTGTATATTATTGATCTGGATCACCGACCGAGTCGATCTAGCCATGTCCGTTTGTCCGTTTGTATTGCTAGAATAAAAATGTCAACAGGTCTTGCCAATAGCTGTCGATTGACCTAAAAAAGATTAAATATCTCCATCTCCCTTGAGAGGATATTACAATTTTAGACAGAAGTTTGTAACACATTAACGGTTTCCTAAAAGGTACATACATGATCAGTATCACTAGACGAGTCGATATAGCCATGTCCGCCTGTCTTAGTACAATTTTCATAGAATATGTGCGCGGAGATCAAGTTTGAAAACTTCCCCGATTGGATCTTCATATCTTATAAGTTGTAACTCCTATAGGAAAGATTGGCTTAAACTGCGATAATTTTGACGTTTTTGGTGCAACTTGAAAGGTTGTAAGCGCTACCCGATCGGACGACTATATCCCCTAGCTCCCATAGGAACAATGGCTTAAAACATTCCGCTTTTCGCTGATTTTAAAGAAATTTTAGCAGCCTAAAAGCTAGCATTATAAAAAAATTATATTGTAATATATTATAAAGTAAAAGGGTATTCTAGTTTCGTCGGAAAGTATGTGACAAGTAGAAGGAAGCGTTTCCGGCCCCAGAAAGTATATAAATTCTTGATCAGCATTACTAGCCAAGTCGATCTAGCCATGACCGTCTGTCCGTATGAACGCCACCAAGCTCCTAGGGGCGCTATAGGCTAGTTGGCGCTGTAGGCCAAGTGGCGCTATAGAAGAAGTAGATGGGTGGCGCTATAGGCTAGGAGTGTTAGTGAAAAAAGCAAAGTTGCTTCAAGCATATCTCCATCCCTCTCGCACTCCCTTAAGCTGGGTAACGTGTCTCTAATAGTCGAGGCCATCAACTATAGCTTTCTTTCTTGTCTTATCTATACCCACAAAAATTAATCTACACCTAGGCTACCGAGGTGTTTTTAAGATGTTTTATATTGTTTTATTATTATCTTATTATAGTCATATTTTAGTTAATACCTCCAAGGGAATTAAAACTTCGGCTTGCGGGAGCTAGCCGTTATCGGTTTATTAGGTACACAATACTGCGTAAGGTCAATTTTAATTAGTAATGCTTTTTCCTATTGGGATTTCATTATTCAATTTTTTTAGCAAGTGCAACGCTTGCCAATTCTGCCCCAAAGGTGTTTAAGATTTTCAGTAAATAGGCTGTCCTTGAAACATCTGCGCTGGACCGGACTTGTTATTTAATCGTAATCCCATTTGCCGGCAGTTCGTAACTGCTGTTGGTTGAATCTGGACACGCCGTCCGTTGGGCCGGTGGTGTTTGCATTCCCTTTTTACGCGATTCATAGACTGGGGGTAAAGGACGAAGTCAGACGGCTGTAGTCGTGATGCCGCTGCTATCCACCTACCTACTAGGACCAAGGGAATAAAAAGTGCATTCTGTCTCGGACAAAACCGAGTGGCCCTGGCGATACGATGGAAGGTTGCTAGAGCCAGTGGAAACAAACCATCGCTTGCCCGCCAACCAACCAGAGAGCTACACGAAATCAGCCTCGCCTCTTCCCTCGTTACCACACTGCACCTAATTCTATCCTTTTTGGCGAGTACTGTTGTTACTCCGTAAATATTTTTCAGAAAACCCAAAAAGAGACAGAATATGTGTCATGAGAAATTGATAGTATCTAAAAACGTACAAAGAGAAATTCACTGTGTATGGGAGTCCACGTAGTGACGAACCGCACCAGGAGGGTGTGCGAAGGCGACTACTATATATACACGAATAAATGAAGATCTACTGCGATGGTCCGATCGAAACGAGTGGTACACCCATCAAAAGGTATCGCAAAAGCTAGAGGAATTGCATACCAAGACTTTAAGAAAATCAATTGGCTTGGGAGAAAGGGCGGTGGAAGTGTTAAAGTAAAAATCCTTTTGGGATAAATGCTCAAGTTTATTAGCCTAGTTGCATTCTTATTCAAAACCCGCGTCGAGTGACACCTCATTTGTTGAGATCCGATGCTTTGCACATTCGGCACGCTGCAATAGGAAATACCTGTGTCGGCAAAAAGCAACAATACTTTGCTGAAGCGTGCTGAATGAGCACATTTAAGGAAGTGTATTTATTTAGTCAAATGCATAATATTTTTTCGTCACAAAATTGTATATCATTAGTTTGTTATAGTATGTTGAAGATACGATCGTCACGACCCTTTACCTCTTTAAGAGGTGTTTTTGTTTGATACAATTTACTGTACAATTACACAGGTACACAGCCAAAAATTTCCATGAACCATTTCGAGTTTTCAATGATATTTGGATCCTCCTGAGTAAAAGTCCCATAAAAACTTGTGTTCCATCAACTACAGGTTCCGCGGTATAGCCAAAAACGCAAAAAACGATTTTACCTATATGTTGTCACACTTAAAATATGTCATGGCAAGCTATAGATAGAAGTTAACAAGTATTTTGTCTTTGGAATATAACATTTTAAATACAGCCTCATGTCCCCAAAAACGAGTATAAAACATCTCCAAGTCAATTTTGTTATTTTTGGGGATTTTTCATATTTTATTCCGAAGGCGATTTAAATAACTATACCAATATTTTATGAATAAAATTATACATGTTTACTTGCATTGCTATGCCCTTTTCTAAATTTAACAACATATATGTATATATGTATATACAAAAATATTTAAGATAGGTTGAATTATGTAGGCCACTCTATCGCGGAACCTGTAGGTGAGGCACAAAAGTTTGTGTGACACTTTTACTTCGAAGCACCCAATTGTCAGAGAAGAGTAGAAATGCTCAATTTTATGTTCCTGTGTTATTAATAACCCCAATTTGTATAGGTATAATTGTGCATATTTATTTAAGTATTTAGGAATTGCTGAAGTTTCTAAAAATGTAATTTGTATAAAACAGCTGGCCGGAATTCAACAATTCAGGAATTCGCAAAAAAAAAACAAAAAGTTTGCCGCGACTTTTAAATACCGAAGGCATTTCTATTGGCGCGACACCTCCGATGTCAGTGCCGCGGCACCTAGGAATTTGGAAATCTGCCTAAGGGAACATTTTAAGATAACAATGCCATTGGTATTTTAAAAGATTTTGATCAATAAAACCTTCAAAATTGAGGACGCCGGACAGGCTTAAGCGTTATGCCACCAAAACAAACTAGCGATCCTTAAGAACCCCTAGAATCTGTATGCCGAGATTTCAGCGTTCAAACGGACAGCCGGACGTGGATAATTCGAGGGATCCAGTGGCTAGTGATCCTGATTAAGAACATGTATACTTTAAGGGGTCGGATACGCTTCCTTCTACCTACATATGTATTTTCCTACTAATACTACTCTTTTCCTCCACGAGTATCGAGTATAGTGAGAGAAGACGATATATTCGTGTGCCTCGACTATCATATATCCGTTACTCAGCTTACCACATTAACTTATTAAGTGGTCCGATTTAAAATGGTCATTTTTGGCACGCCGAAAGATATACAAATATTAAGTAAAGTTAAATGCCACTGCAGCTCAGGAATCTGCATGCCGAATCCCAATAGCCTAGCTCTATAGTGTCCGATATCTCAGCGTTCATCCGGACAGACATGGCTAGATCGACTCGGCAAGTGATCCTGATCAAGAATATATACACTTTATGGGGTCGGAAACGCTTCCTTCTGCCTGATACATACTTTCCGACGAATCTAGTATACCCTTTTACTCTACGAGTAACGGGTATAAAATAAAAGGGGTAATTGGGACTCGAACCTGCGTCACATCGATTTCAAACCAAACGCTTTAATCATCTGCGCTTTTTGAAATTTTTAATTTTTTAGAAAGTATTTCTATTTTTTAGGGTAAGATTCATATAGGGTAAGGGTAATTATTTTTAGAAAAGGTAATGCAAAACAATATTTTTTTTTCGTTAGCCTCACTATTTTTCAGGAAATAATTTCAAGATATAAAGAATTTTTTATAGTTTTTAGGGCTATTCTAGTTTATGGTAAACACTTCCTATATTTAAATAACGATTTCTTAATTTAAGGAAAATTTCCTTGACTTCAAAAAGAATTTACTTTTTTTAAAAAAAAATTTAAACGCAATATTTTTTAAATTTATGTTTAATTTTATTTTTTTACATACTTTATGTCAATCAACTTTAAATGTTAAAAAAAACCTCTTAACGAGGTAAGGGTTCTTGACGATCACACCTTCAACATCCAAAAGTTCTGATACCAAATTTTGTGAGGAAAACAATTTGTACATTCGACTAAATAAATGTACTTTCTAAAATGTTTTTATTCTGCCCGCTTCAGTAAAATATTTAAGCTTCTACATACAAAGGTATATACTATTGCAGCGTGCCGAGTCGTAATTTCTAGGGCGAAAATTGTTGTATATCAAATTGAACAAAAACACCTCCTAACGACGTAAAAGCTGGGGACGATCGCACCTTCGACAAACAAAAGTTCTGATATCAACTTTTGTGACGAAAATGTATTATACGATCTTCAAAATAAATGATCTTTCTAAATTTCTTTCATTCGTCACGCTGCAATTCAATTTGCGTATAACTTTTGATCGGAGCATCGGATTTTAACAAATGAGGTGCCATTAGACCCGTATTTTAAGTATGAAAATACAACAAAGCTAATAAACTTGTGTATTTATTCCCAACGACCCACACAGATCAAATTTTCTAAATTTTCACTCTTACACTTTCACCGCTCTTTTTCCCAAGCCAATTTATTTTTGCAACTTTTTCGATTTTGCGATCCCCTTCGATTGATGTGTCACTCGTAAAGATCGGACGATCACAGAAGGTTTTTATTTCTTCGTGTATATAGTAGTCGCCTTCGCACTTAAGAAAAGGCAGCGACATATAGCACGTATACGTAGCATCGGTTGTTTAGAAATAACTCTTTAAAATCGAACTATTTTTTGGATTTTCCGCTAAACTACCAGGTTATTCCAAACGTCTTAAAACAAAAGTTTTCCATGTCGAGCTTTTTAATACACCAATAAAGTCCACAAGACCCCAAAAACCAAAAAAGGATTTAAACATACCCAAAAACAAATTTATCCCCACCGGCCCAACAGTTTCAATTTTCTATATTTCTATTTTTGGCGCTCGTTCTCCTGAGCCAATTTAAATTTTTAGGGCCTTGGTATGCAATCCTTTTAGTTTTTGCGATACCTTTCGTGTATCACTCGGTATTATCTATGTAAATAGTAGTTACCCTTGCACACTCTCGTGCGCTTCGTCACTACGTGAACTGCCGTGCACAGTGATTTTCATAAGTTACGTTTTTGTAATAAATTTCAATATATCATAGGGAACTTCAACTTCAATACGCATATATTTGATTCACTTTTGCATTGTTTTTTGCAGTGTGCAAAGTATAGAAAATTCTCCAGCATTAATTTCACTAATTGTAATAATACTCAATCGCGTTTGTATTTGATTACTTTAAACTACCCTGCAAACCATATTCGAACGACCCGTAAAGAAATCTTTTCTTTCTTTCTGCCACGGTTTTTTTTTAGTAATTTAAATGATCTTATTATATACATGTATATGAATGTATTATATATATGTATATTAAATACCTAATCCTATTTCGTTTATGACTGAAACAAATCAAACTTCCCTCGAAAACATTATTGTCTTTAATATATTTATATAGTAGTTACTATATTTATCTCCAACAATAACGTTGACACACTGCGCTTCTTATTTACGGCCCTACAACGGCCCGTATCTTTTTAGAAAGGTGCATCTTTCGAAAAAAAAAACAAGGAAGAACGCTATAGTCGAGTACCTCGACTATCAGATACCCGTTACTCAGCTAAATGGAGATATGCAAGCAGCAAAGCGAGATTAAAATGCGCCACCTACCGGCGGTAGACAGATTTAAGCGTTATGGGCGTTAGAGTGGGCGTGGCAAATTTATTTTTGGATAAATCGATAGGTATTGACTACACCAATACATTTCAGTTAAAATTTTTTATGTAGCATGCAAATTGTGGGCGTCACAGGTTTTCGCGGTTTGTGGGCGTTTAAATGGGCGTGGCAAACTTTTTTTTAGGTCAATCGATAGGTATTGATGAGAACAATACATTTCAGTTAAAATTTTTTATCTAGCATCAAAACTGTTGGAGTTACAGTTTTGGGCGGTTTGTGGGCGTTAGAGTGGGCGTGGCAGTCTACTGAAACAAACATGCGCTGCGTAAGAAGCTCAGGAATCTGTACGCCAAATCTCAATAGCCTAGCTCTCATAGTTTCCGAGATCTCAGCGTTCATCCGGACAGACAGACGGACAGACGGACAGACGGACATGGCTAGATCGACTCGGCTAGTGATCCATATCAAGAATATATATACTTTATGGGGTCGGAAACGCTTCCTTCTGCCTGTTACATACTTTCCGACGAATCTAGTATACCCTTTTACTCTACGAGTAACGGGTATAATTAAATCTGTAAGCGCGAAATGAGCAATTAATCTTCGGCATGCTGTTCCCATTTTTTCGTATATGAAAACAGTTTTGACAACTGTTTGCTTTGCAAAATGTTTCCATTAATTTTTAACATTTTTTATTATGTGCTCGGCTGATTTCGACCACTATTTTTTTTAAATTTTAAGATGGAATATTCTAAGTTTTGGAAGTTCATTCTTACAAGTGTTGGTAAAATGCCTTTTTTATGCCTATCATTTTGTAACAATTTTTGAGTAAAAGAGATAGCTACTGTGAATGTGCTATTTTGGGTGTTAAAACGTTCTTATTGGCTTGGTATTGGCCCAAATTATAAATTTGCTAAAAATCAGCAGAACGAATGATGACCTCACAGCGTGAGTAAGCAGCTTACCCCCAACTAAAAACGTTACCATTACCACTAACATACATGTTTATTTACATTTAATAAGTTTTGATTTTTGACTTTCCACCAGAGGTTTAGATTTTGCTGACATGTTTTTCACTTGTACGACATGCAACGGTACACACTTTTATGATAAGTTCACAAAAAATAAAACATACAACTGTCCATTACCGCAGAAGGTAAAGAAGAGAGTCTATAAATATAACTAGTATTGACAGACGCACTGACAGTAAGCCGCGAGCTTAATGAATTTATGGGTTCTTGAGGTTGAGGTATACACTGCCTACGGCCAAGAGATTCTCGCATATCTGTTTGTTTAACTAACCGCTGCCTTTTTAACGTGTGGTTTGCACTTGCAGCTTTTTATGCACAAAAGCGCGATGCAGCAAATACAGCAGCAGATTCCCCGAGTCGGCCTTGGAACCCACGGCGTGACCGGCACAGCTAACTTGGGCGGCAATATCACGCCTGGCTCGGATACCAAGCCGCACCAGTGCCAGCAATGCATGAAGAGCTTTTCCAGTAACCACCAACTCGTGCAACATATCCGGGTGCACACTGGAGAGAAGCCGTACAAGTGCTCCTACTGTGATCGTAGATTTAAGCAGCTGTCGCATGTCCAGCAGCACACGCGCCTCCACACAGGTGAGTTATCGCACCGCACGAATGAATGGCTAAAAACGCGCTTAGCATACACCACGAAAACCGAAACATAGACCAATTCGCCTTATTTTTTGCCCACACTGTGTATACACCCGGAAAACCAAATAATCAAACACTTTGGAAACATTTTAAATTTTTTTTATTTTAGGAAATAGTTTCCGATTCGTTAGGGACTTCAATTTTTACAAAACGAGTTATTTAATAAGAGCGCTACATTTTTTTTCAATTTGATCTTGTATGGTTTGTTTGTTCTTTTACACACAGAGAGGAAAAACCATGAACATTGTGATTGAATTGAGAACATTCGTTCTTAAAACCCGTGTAAGCACAAATGTTCTTATTTTGATCCGAATGTTCTTAATTCTAGAACGAAATGGTATGAACTAAAAAAGTGAAACGAGTTGATTTCGTTCCATTTTCAAGTTGATTTTGGTTTTAATTTAAGAATATATTTGGAATAAACATTTTGATATTGGTTTTATCTGAATTTAAGATCAAAAGAAGAACATTTTAAACTTCCAAAAAAAACGCAAAAATAAGTTTATTTAGTTTCTAATAGTTTCGTATATTTATTAAGTTGGCGACAGTTATTTGATATTTGATTATTTAAAGGCTTTTAATATGATTTATATATACATATAAATGCGTATAAAAATATAAATCTAAATTAATGTAATGTAAGGGTGCGCTGGAAATAAAAGAATAAATGTGAGAGTAATTATACGTTTTTTTATGATTTTCTGACAATTATAAGTGTTTTTGTTTACATGTGTTTATATTTACATACAGATGTATGTAGACACGTGGACACGAACGAATTTGTCCTTACCAAGTTCTTAAGAGAAACACACTCAAAGGAGCAAATCTTTAAAAACAATTCAGCAAACACTTACATGTGTATGTACATTCCATACATAGCGTATTTTATTTTAAAGCTCTAAGTACTAAGGAATTTAAATTAACCTTAATGGAATTTTCTTACGGACTCCATTTCAATATCTTTCAGCAACTTTAATAACTACTTGTCACTTTCACTTTCCATCACTTTAAGCTTTTTGCAATATACTCTTCGAGTAACGGGTATAAAAGCCATGAAAAAATCGCCTATACAAATCTAGTGACGATAGCACCTTCAGCAAACAAAAATGTCTCTAACGATTTTTTATTTATTAAATTTTATAATACATTTTCAAAAAAGTTAATATCAGATAACTTTTGTGACGAAAATGTATTATAAAATCTAATACATAAAAAATCGTTAGAGCCGTTTTTGAAAAATCGAAAATAAAAAAGGAAAAAAAAATCTTGAATAAAAAATATATTGCCATTATTAAAAAATCATGTTAAAGTATTTCAAAATACCTTTCTAACAACATATAGCCCAAGCCCGTAGCTTTAGTAGTTCACAAGTTACGGGTGTACCTAATTTTTCTATTTATAGCTCTTTTCTCGCCGAACTAGCTAGTTCTTCCAAAAGCGGTAGAACTGATGTTTCTTATATTGAGCTGTTTAACATCGTCTTGAATTTTCAGGACCCTAAAATAACGTTTTGGGACAAACAGACAAACAAAATAAAATTTTCATTTTAAGAAGTCCCCCAAAATCTGGTTTTGCGTATTACTTTTGAACAGAGCATCCGATTTTGACAGTGATGTGTCATTCGACGCGTATTTTAAGTAAAAATACAAGTAGGTTAGTATTTATCCCCACCAACCCCAACATATCTAATTTTCTACATTTTCACTTTTACCGCTCTGATTTGATTGATTTTTTAGACTTGGCAAGCAATCCATTTAGTTTTTGCAATAATTTTCGATTGACGTATCACTCGTAACAATCGGACGATCACAGTAGATTTTAACTTCTTCGTGTATATATAGTAGTCGCCTTCGCACACCCTCCAGGTGCGCTTCGCCATTACGTGGATTGCCGTCCACATTGATATAGCTCAAATGACTTTAAGAAACTTAGCTTTTTTATAAAAACCAAAAATATTTGCATAAAGATCATAAATAGCTGTGGCCACACTAACACAACAAAAAACGCCTACAGTTAGAAAACTGTCGCTTGCATAGAATCTAGGTGCTATTAGAAGCTTCCCCTGTGGCTGAATTGTCGTTTCTCTGCAATTTTTGATATGTATTATACGGAATTAGTTAAAAAACATTAGATTCGTAATTAACAGTAAATTCAATCAGCCACCGTTCCGTCTAGCGCCCACATTTATTTATATTTTATAGAAATTTAAATGCGATTTTGTTCTTGTTATCAATTTCCATCTACCATTCATTAAAAAGTTACAACCGAACAATAACAAGGAAGAACGCTATAGTCGAGTACCCCGACTATCAGATACCCGTTACTCAGCTAAATAGAGATATGCAAGCAGCAAAGCGAGATTAAAATGCGCCACCTACCGGCGGTAGACACATTTAAGCGTTATGGGCGTTAGAATGGGCGTGGCAAATTTGTTGGATCAATCGATAGGTATTGACGGGACCAATACATTTCCGTTAAAATTTTGTATCTAGCATGAAAATTGTGGGCGTCACAGGTTTGGGCGGTTTGTGGGCGTTAAAGTGGGCGTGGCAAACTTTTTTTTGGGTCAATCGCTAGGTTTTGATGAGAAGAATACATTTCAGTTAAAATTTTTGTTCTAGCATCAAAACTGTAGGAGCCACAGTTTTGAGCGGCTTGTGGGCGTTAGAGTGGGCGTGGCACATTTCTGAAACAAACTTGCGCTGCGTAAGAAGCTCAGGAATCTGCACGCCAAATCTCAATAGCCTAGCTCTTATAGTTTCCGAGATCTCAGCGTTCATCCGGACAGACGGACATGACTAGATCGACGGCTAGTGATCCTGATCAAGAATATATATACTTTATGGGGTCGGAAACGCTTCCTTCTGCCTGTTACATAGTTTCTGACGAATCTAGTACATCCTTTTACTCTACGAGTAACAGGTATAATAAATAGTGAGGAAACTCAATAGAGTGCTAGAGGGATGGAGTATATATCGTTCGGGGTGGATATGTCAATGAATTCCGCTACAGCTAGTTGCGATTATATTTATTTCTCATAATTTTGTAATGAATCGACTGGTCTTCAGTATTTCAAATAGTTTTCACCTAAAGAGGCGAGGGGTCAGAGTGAAAAAGTAAAAATATATACAATAATACCTTTGGGGCTGAACGTTTTGGAGAGAGAATATATGAATATAATATTTGATATCAGAGATTGAGTGTGTTACAGGTGTGATCGTCTCGACACTCTATATATTAAATATCTTAAATTTCTCTATATATTAAATAAAACAAGAAGTTCAATTTTTACGTTAACAAAAGGCATTTTAAACTTGTGCGACTTATGCTACAGCCAGAAGTAACACTCACATTTCCAACCAAATTGAGCTATCATCGATTAACATCTACAGATTATTAAGGACATCGTCTTGCTGAATTGTACTTGCTTTAAAGCAAACATAAAATAGTCTTTATATTTTACCATATTCAAAAAAAATGGCTGTTAGCTTCGGTTCTGGTTTGACAATTTATGAGTTATTTCTAATTATTCTAATTGTAATTACCAAGATGATGAAAAATGCTCAGGGCCCGTTCTTGAATAATTAAAACGGAAAGTGGTCCCAGTCCAGCACTATTCTTGAGACTATATTGGTACTCGTAGAAAAGGCATGTCTGACCTTGGTTTTCGCCTTCTTCCTTAAAATCTTGCGTCCCTATAATAAGGTCCTGTGTTTGGCCCCGCATTCAACACATCCTTGCAGCTGGCAAAATCAGCGGGTCGGCATTGCAAATGGCAATGACAAAGATAATTAAATAAACTTGGAGAGCTTTTTGAGTCAGTATCCGCGCCCATTCCACCCTCGCATCCCTCCTTGAACCCAGGAAGTTGGTTGACTCCGGACAGCCGAAAGGGATGAATACGCGAACGGTTCTGGCAATATGAGAAAGTATTCAACGTCATTAGCTGCATTCAATGTCATTTCACTTTCCTGTACACGAAAGAGTGCCCATTCTGGTACCAGTCCCGAATCCGCCGCTTTCAGCTTACCTCAACCATTCCTCGTTCACACCTGATTGCAACTTTACAATTCCTATTTATGATTTTTATCCCTCGCTTCTTATTCTGTGCCTTCTCACCTTTTTGGACACGGTGAAATGAAAACGCTTTAATTGAAAACCAGTTTGGTCCTTACCCCAGTAATAGGAGTAGCCCAGGCAGCGACGGAATTCCACCTTTTAACGGACGGGTTTCCCATCCACGCGGAGCAGGATTGGGTAATTATACCATACAGGGTCCCGGGCCGGCCGGTTTCTTGAGAGCTGACGGCGCGAAGCAAGGCCGGCGGGACGGCTAATGGATAGCAAGCCCATTAAGAAAGGAAGGCCCGCACAGTCGTTGAAGCTGCAACGCGGTCAGTGCAGTCTTTAAGGCGCTCTAAGTGACAGGTCAAACGAAGTGGCGTTCAGGCGGTGACTACGTGCCTCCGGGTGTGAACCTGCGATGTTCCGGCGTTCTTAGTCGACGGCTTAGCGAAGGGTTGTACTTGCGCCTCGGCCGTGGTCTGGGCCCGGTCCTAAGCGTGGGACTCGACCGCAGCTTCGTCTACACGACTGCACTTTGCGACTATTTATTTGTATTTAATGTTACTTGCAGGCAAAGTGACACTAAGTAGCTTAAACGTTTTAGTCACCAGGCTGCTCTGTCTTCGGAGTTGTTGCTGACCTTCCACTTTTTATTTAATTGCGCGATTAAATGAAATTAATTTTGCTTCAAATCTAAAATGCGGCGCTACCCTTCGCTGTTTCTTTAGGTTGCTGCACCACCGACCCGCATCGAAAGCGTCACAAAATATTTTAAGTAACCGTCTGCATCAATTTAGAGAGCTTGGTTTTAATCATATTAAATGAAGTCAATCAGTCAATTAAGCGCCTTTAGGTATTTTGATATCGCGAACAGAAACTTTAAAATGCTGCAGAACTGTGGCTTCTCCGATTTCTTTCTACTTGGTTTTGCGAGTATTAGAACGTTATACCTCTTTTATTGCATTGTAGGTACTATAAATATACGAAGTGGATAAGCACGAAAACGAGGAAGGCTCAAGTCTGTAACATATAAACAACAAACATTTATATGCATGCCTAATTCAGAGACCACAGCGTTCATACTTAAGTTTTATTTTTCAAAATCACACAAAAAAATCGATTGGTAAAACTTTTCAATATAACAGTAAAAGGTCCCCAACCCTCAAATCAAATTGTCAATTTTACCTATCAAACAATTCTCTTACGCAATACGTAGACGTAAGAGTTACTTTAACAAATAGTTATGGAACTATAAAAAAGGATTCTAGTTAAATAAATATTTTTATAGTTATTCAACCCACAAAATAAAGTTAAAATTTCTAATCATTTTTACACACATTTTTTGTACACCTTTAACAGAAAAAATATCTAAGAGATCATACCAATTTTTAAATTTTTAAGGAGAACGTCCCTACAAATGCCACCTGCCAGACTGCGGCCGAGCCTTCATACAGCTTTCGAATCTGCAGCAGCATCTACGAAACCACGACGCTCAGGTTGAACGTGCAAAGAATCGCCCCTTCCACTGCAATATTTGTGGAAAGGGATTCGCCACTGAGTCTAGCCTGCGCACACACACATCGAAGGTAAGTAGCCGTTGTCACCAAAGCTGCCTGTCATGTCGCATTTTTTCATTGCCTTTTGTATTACGCCCTCCGATATCGCCCATTACCTCGAACCTGATCTTCGTGTCGATCCCTTGCCCTCTCGACCCATCAAAAACCCTGTTGCAACCGAAAACACCGCGCATTGCGAACAGGAGCTACAGCTGCATCTTGGTGTCTTGCAGCAGCACGCCGCACTAATAGGTGGTCCAAACGCTACGTCCTGTCCTGTGTGCCATAAACTTTTCCTTGGCACTGAGGCTCTTGTGGACCACATGAAACACGTTCATAAAGAAAAAAGCCCCCCGCCAAGTGGATCAGGTAAGAAAATGGCGACTGATATTAGTAAATAATATTTGAATAGTCCATATTTAAACCACCATGTGAAATTAGGCGTGCTTAATCGCATAAGATGCCATTACGTTTTTCACGGTCTTTCTCATTTGGTGTTGGCATGCGGTTCTTGTCAGTGGAGCTGAGTGCCAGAGATGGAGAGGGATAGCATTCCTCCCCGTTACTCGTAGAGTAAAAGGGTATACTAGATTCGTCGGAAAGTATGTAACAGGCAGAAGGAAGCGTTTCCGACCCCATAAAGTATATATATTCTTGATCAGGATCACTAGCCGAGTCGATCTTGCCATGTCCATCTGTCCGTCTGTCTGTCCGTCCGGATGAACGCTGAGATCACGGAAACTATAAGAGCTGGGCTATTGAGATTTGGCATGCAGATTCCTTAGCTTCATACGCAGCAAGTTTGTTTCAGCAATATGCCACGCCCACTCTAACGGCCAAAAACTTTGGCTCCTACAGTTTTGATGCTAGAATAAAAATTTTAACTGAATTGTATTGACCTCATCAATACCTATTGATTACCCCAAAAAAAAAAGTTTGCCACGCCCACTTTAACGCCCACAATCTTCAAAAAATCGTAAATATGAACGTCAATATCTCGGAAACTATCAAAGATAGAGAATGGGGATCTCAAATTTAGATTCCGTAGCCTTGAACGCAGCTCAAGTTTGTTACGCGAATATGCCAAGCCCACTCTAACCCCCACAAACCGCCCAAACCTGTGGCGCCCACAATTTTCATGCTAGATAAAATATTTTAACTGAAATGTATTGGTCTCGTCAATACCTATCGATTGATCCGAAAAAAATTGGCCACGCCCTCTCTAATGCCCATAACGCTTAAATCTGTCTACCGCCGTTAGGTGGCGCATTTCAATCGCTTTGCTGCTTGCATATCTGCATTTCCCTTTGGTCCCAATAGCTGAGTAACGGGTATCTGATAGTCGACGTACTCGACTATAGCGTTCTTCCATGTTTTTTAATGAAAACCTTTTTTTACGTTTTAATATTATGTGCCGTTGGAGTCCGTCATTAATCTACAGTGAGGACACGAAAAGAGAGATTAATTGACAAAGAGAGAAAATTGTTGTATGACCTTATAGTTTTTTTACTCGTAGGATAAAAGAGTATGTTGTATTCGTCGGAAAGTATGTAGCAGGTGGAAAGAAGTTTTGACGACCCTATAAAGTATATACGAGTATATTATTGATCAGGATCATCATCCATTATCTATTTTTTAGATTTTCTTTCAGCGTAAATTTAAATTTTATTTATTGTTCAATACTTATCTAAATGTTGAGAATGGTACCAACCGCGTTGTTATTTTTAAAGCTGTAACTAACCGCTAGGTGCTGTACCCACTGAAATTTTTTTAATGGATCCACTTATTGTTAGTCTCATTTCAAAGAAGATTTAATAAATAAAGCATTTACGTAATAAAAAAAATTGTTTGTACGATACAGTAATCGATCTTCGGGAAACCCGAAATCTATGTTTAATGTATGTATATTTGTAATATCCAACGTTTGTTGTCTTACTTATATTTTTGCCAGCCCTATCCCAATTCAGCGAATTAAATCAGGGAACTGGCAGTGGGAACGGAAACGGAAGTGGAACTGCCAACGATCAAATCTCTGCGCATACCACATCGGAGTCGAGCTGCGCACAGAGCTCCCACCAGGCCACTGTCGGTGGCCCCAACATAATCGACAGCTATTTGGGCAAGCGAAGGACAGCCAATCATCCCTGCCCGGTGTGCGGCAAGCATTACGTCAATGAGGGATCCCTTCGGAAACACCTGGCATGCCACGCCGAGACCTCCCAACTAACAAACAGCCTGCGAATGTGGCCTTGTAGCGTTTGCCAGGCAGTCTTTACTCATGAAAATGGTACACCTCAGAGTCTTTGACCCAAAAGTGCACGGATGTAATCGTTTCTTGTTCTGCAGGCCTTCTTACCCACATGGAGTCGATGCGTATGGATCCGAAACATCAGTTTGCGGCTCAGTACGTTTTGGTACGTTCACAAAAGTTGCTAGGCAAAAACGGAATGGGAAGACAAAAAGCTTAGTTGTTTCGCGACTTGGTTTTTTCAAAAATTAAAAGGCCACCCATTCCAATCTCCCATTTCAGTCTCGAGCGGCTGCGGAACAGCGAGAGCGGGAGTCCCTGCTAGCGGTAACCTTGGCCGCCAGCAGTGGCACTGGCGACAGAATGGGGATTGCAGATGCCGCGAACGTCCTGACAATGGGAACACACAACTCAGAGGGGTCCAACTCGAAGTGTCCCTCCCCTTCGGTGAACTCCGAGTGCTCTTCGAACGGACGTCTAACGTCATCAACAACGTCTGATCAGGACCAAGACATCGACCATGGGTTAAGTGAAAATGAGAATAGCAACCAGAACAACATCACCAGCAGCACGAATAACAACAATAATTGCACCAACAACAACAACTCAGGCTCTAATAAAATGGTTGAGCTTCGTCTTCAGGGTTCCGGCCAATATACCATGGACACGGATCTGCACGTGGCCAACCGAATGTCGTTGATGGCCGCGGCTGCTGCTGCCGTTGCTGCGTCACGACCGCAGGACGGAGTGGACAACTCAGCAGTGCCAAGCGCGGCGGTCCAGGCTGCAGTGGTCAATCTGGCCGCTGCCATGCGGATGAACAATCCCAGCAACGGCCCTACCGCCTACCAACAGCATGTGAGTACTATACTCGGGGAAAAACCACTTAAAACGATTGATTGGCCTAATCGTTCAATTTCGGCCAGCTGTTTATCAGTCCTTTTATACAAAATCAATCCACACTTCAGCAACCGAACAACCTTCGGGCTGTTTATGAGCATTTCTGGTCGATATATTTGAATTTGATTATTGAGCTCGGTGTTTTATTCCACTTTCAGCACGGCGATCACACCCAGTCACACCACCCACTCCCGCACTCACATCCGCATCCGCATCCGCATCCACATCCGCATCCACACCCTCATCACCCTCATCACCATCAACAGCAGCAGGCGCCTCAGCACCAGCAGCAACAATTGTCCCATTTGTTGGTGCACACGCACCCCAGCAACAGCCACTCCCGCGCACAACGATCTCCGAATTTGAACGTGCCAAGTTTGCAGAACGAATCATCCGCCGCCGCATCGATCGCAATGAACATGAACGTGCACATGATGCGCGGTTCCCTTGAGCCGGACCCGGGCCTGGGGGGCATGCATGCGATAGAAGTCCTCCACCAGCAGCAGCACCACCACCAGACGTCCAACTACTCGCAGCACGCCATCACTCCCACCAACCAACAGGGCCATCCGCACTCCCAGGCGCACCACACATCACACCACCACCCGGACGCGGAGACAGCGCTCCGCATGCATCAGGCAGAGGCGATCTTGCGCTCGCATACCGAGGCGGCGTTCCGACTGGCCACTGGCACTGTTCCTGTTCCTGGCCCCGGAGTGAAAAGTGAGGCCGACCAGCAGCAGCCCAGTAGCAACGGCAACGCTAGTGGCAGTGCCAGCAGCAACGACCAACAGCACCGATTCCATTCACACTCGAATCAGCAAGAGCATCAACTGCCGTCGAGCTCGTGAAGTTCGGCGAGTGAACCCTCCAGGGCAGACGTAGATTGAGGATAGAGAGACAAAATCAAGTACAACGATTTTCCTATTTCGTCTATTGCAGTCGAAAGAAAAGGATTGGATACATACGAATGCGTAGGCCTCCACTACACATAGATTAGTTTATGGACGAGGTATTGATGTAAATGAGATTATGTTTGTATGTAAGGTTAAATAGGCAACACCGCCCTAAGTTAAACAGCGACCCCATTCATTGTGCAATAATAAAAAGTAAAGTCAATGTCGACAGATAAATACATGTAAAAACTTTCGTGTTATGTTTACGTTTATTATAAGAGTAAAGATTAATGCGCGAAAATCATTTAAAACGAATTTTTTTGGGCTATTACAAAGGGAGTGGGTTTCATACAATTTCTGGAAGATAGTAACACAAAAAACACGTTTTTCAGAAACAAAATATACTCTAATGGCAAAGAAGTCAAATCGGATTGTTTTATCTTGTAAAAGTCGATAACAAGTCACTAACAATATTTAGTGATTTAAAGTTGCAAAAATTAGCCACTACGGAAAAAAAAGCTTTAAATGATTTTAAGCAATGTTGGCAAACAAACTTATGGTCTAAAATGACGTTTGACTCCCCCAAACGGGACTGATAAATCGCGTTTTTTTGAGGAAAATTATCATAGCCAGCACATTTGTATTACAACATTTTAAGCCCCTATTTTTTAATTTTAATATAAATGTGTTGTCTACTAAGATATTTATGTTTTCATAAACCCGTAATTTTGGTAATTTTAGCTTATCTTAAAGTTGCATTGGTATTTGTCGATCTTTTACGCGCACATTTGGAAGACGACAGGAAAATCTAGAATGTAGAAACTGTAGTATCCGGAAATTGGATAAGTAAATAAGTAAATACCTAACCTAATAATTTTTTTTCCAAAAATAATAGTGTTTTTCGTTCGCATTTTGGGGGGTACAAACACCATTTTAGACCATACGATTGCTGCCCCAAACGATGTGTCCGTTCTTTCCGCCCTATACAAATCGACCTGCCCTAATTTACATATTTACAGTGCACGATCAAAACAAAGAACATTCTGCTTCAAATATAAGAACACATTTGTTTTGCTTAAAACTGTGACAATAAAGTTAATTTACATTTGTTCTAAGCGTGCGAAATATATCAAAGCTGGTACTTACTTAACATTGTTTACATTTGCGATTGGCTATTAGTTAAGTGTTTTCGTTTCTCTTTTTTTCTGATTTTTCTTTCGGTTTTTATTAGGGTGGACCTAAGTATAGAACACCAAAATCAAAAATTCAATTTCAATACACTTTGTTTTTAAAAAAATTAATTTATAAACTAGTTAATTACTGACTAAACCTATTATTAAAAAAATTTTTTTATATCCTTCAGAATCACAAAAACTGGATGTTTTCTTATTGTCGGAATTTATGCGTCAAAAAATTAAATTTACAAGGCGAAAAAGAAAACTTAGAAGCAGTGGCCAGAGATGAAAAGCGATCCCGAAAGCTTATAATATATTTATAATATAAAAGGGAGTAAAGGCTATAGTGACAAACGACTCGTTTCTTGAATGACATTTTCCAAAAATTAATATTTTTCAAATGTTTAAAAGCAGAAAGTGCTGACATCTATTGAGCATATTCCTGTAAAAGTTTGATGGCAAAATTCCATCGGAGTTAATTATTACACATCTTGGCCTAAACCAATATTATTTTCTCTTTTTAAAGTGGTAGGGTAAGGTGACGAACTGATAAATACACACTAAAACTCTATGCAGATGTGAAAATTATTTATTTTTCCTTCAATAAAGGATTAAAACTGTTCACTTAAAAATCATAAAAAACCATAATCATAACAAGCAAACACGGAAAAAAATTAAGTCTTCACACATAACAAAATGATTCACGATACCCTATAAGGTACTGTTGGAAATATAAAGTCACTTTCATAAGGCGCAAAAGAAAAAAACACGAAGTACCAAGAACTGTTGCTAAAGATCACTTAAATTTTGTTCATATTTATCTAACTTGGTTTTACAGAAAAAATGCTATGGCACACAAATAAATTCATTCATTCATTAGGTTTTTTTTTGCTCCACCCTTTAGTCGAAATTATCTTACGAACAAATTACGCGAATTCTTAAAAATAAAATTGAAAATACATTCCCGGCACGATAAGAGAAATCGACAATTATTTGAAATTGTTGACATGACGTCACTTATAAGATTTGACGAGTTCGTCACCTACCCTACACTCCCTAAATAAAAACATGTGAATCAATTGTGAAATCGGAATCCTGTTTTAAATGTTCCTTGGAAACGCTTCCAGATATTTTTTGGAAGGATATAGGTGCATCCTGGTTACAGTTTATAGCATTCTACGTGTGTTTACTTGGAAAGCATATAGGTGTGTTCCTGGGTACAGTTTACAGGCGCATTCTAAATAAATGCGTTCTAGAATGCGTTTACATGGAACACAAGTAGGTGCATGAACACGATACCTTATTTTTTACCCAAATGGGTTCAGCACACGTTTTTGGTGATCATTTCAAAGAATGCTTTTATTTCCATCCAATCTATTTCTTTTACCCACTTAACGGGACGGTGCCTTCCCCCACTTTTTAAGATACCAAATGCCCTTGGACATCTTATAGAATATTTTTATAGAACCTTGAACTTTTTAAAGAATACAATTCGAGCTATATACAAAGTGCTAAAAAAAACCAGTTCATTAAGTATCTCTCCAGAAAACCAATTTAGTCGCAATAAACATTTATTTGCAAAACTGGTCAAAGGAGCGTGTTACCGTTCCTTATGACTTTATGGCGAAAATAAAACTTTTCTAGTGTCATTCGCCTTGTTCTACACACAAATTTTAATTTATGGGCATATTTAAATATTTAAAATAATTTTTCTTCTTGTATAATTTTGTTTACATTTTTTAAGTAGCATTTTAGGTAGTTTAGCATGTACACAAGGGTTGCACGAAGTTCTAAAACAGAGCTGTAAATGTTTCAATTCAAAGAAGACTTGTTTTATAATATATTTATTTTTTTCCAGAGAACAAATTCTTTACACGTACTTAAGTCGCTTTTTTTAAGTTTTAAGTAAAGTTGTCAATAAATAATTACATTTCAATTTTTTAGTTTTGCTATTCGAAACAAGCCAAAAAGCCCTAATGTACATGCATAATTTCTTGTCAACTCTTAGAAAGCTGCATTAATTGCAATCAGTAATATTCAAGTATCGTTGTAAATCACTTTGAATTCAGCATAAGGCCCAACATCTATTTTTCATTACTGGGAAGCTGTAATAATAGAATCATTATTATCGAGCTTACATTTATCCCATTATTGCTATGCTTAAAATCTAAATCTATACTTAATCGGTCGGTTATTCATGTAATCCGTTGCGTCCACGCTTATTTGGTGAACAGAACGAATTTGCTACGCTGCTGGTTCCAGTAGTTGTTTTCTCCTGCACTCGCTTTAGATTAGGCGTATTTGTGGGTGCTTGAAGTTTCGTGGTTGCCGGATCTGTAGAAATAGATTCAGAAACAGACGAATCAAATACCTAAAGTAAGCATATAATTGTTGTTTAATCAGATAAAAGGCTTACCCTGCAGCCATCTAACTTGAGTAGCTGGTCCGTAGCCCTTTTGATTTCGAGCAGCAATCCGAAAAATAATAGCTGGTTTGTTTGAGCAATCTACATGTGCGTTGGAGAGTGAAGCGTTGGGCACCGTGCATTGATTTGCGGCACCGACATAAACCCGCACAAAAGCCAACTGAGGAGTGGACAAAGCCTTATCCTTGGCAGTCGGTTTTACTGCAAGGTATACTGAATATTCAATTATCTCCTTAGTTTTTTGAGCTGGGGGTGGCTCCCAAGTTAGATGGGCGCCCTCCTTGACATCCTTCGAAATCTTAATTGCCGAGGGGGCACCCGGAAAGCCTGGTAAACAGGTTTTAAAGCTTGATATCTACGGCAAATATAGAGAAAATAAATGTTTAAATTATTTGATCGAATAATACATTACTAACTAGGCTTTTTTTAAGACGTCTTTAGAAAAAGGAGCTCTGCGTTATTCTTAGCCAAACATGATCGGACCAGTCGATTTAGCGTCGCTTGTGACCGGTTGTGTCTATCTTGTGCTCTGTGATTTTTGTCAATTTGTCATTAATATCTGTGATACTGGTGCCTTGCTTTGTGACTTAATCCAACATAACTAGCCGTGCTTGTGCTTTAAATCTGTTTATGTTTAATTCTCTATTTCATTGTAGCAATTTTAACAAAACCTAACTCTGTTTTTAGCCTGTGCGTTTTGTTGTTGTAACTTCTGAACGCTGATGTGCATTTGTTTCAATAGATTTTGTTGTTGCTTCCCATAACTTTCTGGTAATCTCTCTCCCGTTTGTTGTCGTCTAATCTGTTGTCGGGTATATTTTGTTTGTGTTTCGCAAGCCACGCTCAGTCGACAGCCACTCCGTCGCGCTCTATCGCTCTCGCAGTCTCTACGCGCTCTTATACTTTTGTGTTTTTGTGTGTCTACATTTTAATTGTTTGATACCAGTGCCAAATTAAGTGAGGTATTTATAATTCTTTTGATTTTTGGTTTTAAAAATAATTTTTTTTTTTGCAATTAAAATACTTGAAATAAATGGCTTTTCTGTTCCAAAAAAAATTTTCAGTTTGGATCGTCACCTAATGAGGTTTTTACTGTCGTCTCTGCAACACGGTCATACATCCGAAATGTACTGGACTTGTTGGCAGAGTAAAAGACTATGTTGATCTGCGTGTTGGTTTTTCGAGGACTTGTGCCTCATGCGTTGATATAGACCGTGATTTGGATGGCTATGTTGCGTTGACCAATGATCGTTTTATGAAACTGTTTAATAAACTTATTAGCGTAGTTGCTGATTTCAAAGAGCTTAAGGCGGACCTTGATAATAAAAAAATGTCAGTAGGGTCACCTAAACGCTAAAAAACCGCTCCTTCAAAATCTTTTGAAGTAAAGGCATCAGTACCAAACCCCAACTTAGCTTCGGCATCCACTGGCGCTGGGGGACCTAAAGCTTCACTGCCAGCAGTACCAATAGGTAACAAAAGCTCTGGAGGAGTCCCTGTTTCTGCTAGTCACCTGTGCCTATAGGTGATGTTCAGATTGCTGGTGGCGGAAAAAAGAGCCTGTCGGTTGTTCCTTATAGGAAGCAATTATTTGTGTCTCGCTTAACACCTGAAACCACATCTGCTGATGTTTTGGAATTTGTACACCAGGAATTCCCATCTCAAAACATCACAGTGGAGGAGTTTAAATTTCCTTGTGTTCGT